CCGCGACTCGCTCTCTGATCTCGTGCGCGTTCAGATGTGGAAGTGCCACGACCAGCAAGGCCACAAGGAACTCTACGATCACTGCAGGGACGCTGCCGGGGACGAGAAATGGATGGCGGCTTTCCCAAATCTGTTCATTACGATCGCCCCGGCCGAATGGAAGTTCCCAGTGCCGTATTGGTTGCGGCCGTATCGAGAGCACTTGGTCAGCGGCGCCTACTGCATCGGCATTCACATGTACTTGCTGGTGCTGTCTATCTGGGCTTTCCTGTGCAACCACCTCGGCCATCGCTGGTTCCGGGTCATGGAGTACGCAGTCCGAACGGAATACCAGGGTAGAGGCACGCCGCATTGGCACATTTGCGCGTGGGTGTTGACTGCCGCAGGCGTGTCCCTTGCTTCGCTCGCGGGGCGAGTAGGCGTGAGCGGTCAAGCTTTGGCTGCCGCCGTGGGCTTCGTCAAGTTTCTGGGCGTTCTTTTCATGTGCGAGATCGACGTGCAGGTGGGCAACGGCCGGCTCAACTACATCAACGGCTACTGCACGAAGGGACACGACGCCGTCGACGTGGGTTTGGGCGAGTACGTGCAAACCAAAAACACAGCGCCTTGGCTGGCGACTTTTGGTCTTCTCAGCAAGATGACGCCGTCCATACCAGAGTGCGCCATTCGTCTTGCCCAGTACCCCGAGTTCGACCGGTCTTATTCGCACGAGTTGCTATTTCCGCCGCAGCCCGACGCCATCGCCGCGGTGTTCGACGCGCAGGGAGACGCATGCCTCGGCGACCATGGTGGCAATTTTAGCTGGAGCATGTACAAGTCCTACCACAATGAAGTGCGGGAACATGTCAACTCAAACGCACCAGTCAACCAGTCCTTCTTGCAGTGGCATCGCCACTACAAGTGGGATCGGAATGGCAACAGGGCAGAAGGCCGCAAAGGCAAGAACATCTCATACGGCAGGTCCCCCACCATGGTCTGCGCGTGCCGGTATTGGTACGAACTCACAGATGGGTATTGGGGGCAGATGTCTCTCACGCAGATCCCTCACAGATCGCCGCGCGACCTTTTGCCACTCCCAGACCAGCCGCACCTAGAGAACATGAAGAATTTCTTCGGCTTCCTGGCGTACCTCCGGACCTGGCGGTTTTGCAGGTACGATCGCGACGACCACCCTGGTTTCGTCATTCGTTCAGGCGAGTTCGAGTTCCGAGAGTCCGCGCTGCCATTGGATGTTCAGGACAGCGGTGCTCTTGTACTGATCGGTGAATCCATTGGTACTCGGCCTGCGCCCGATGCAGACTTGAGCTCGGCGCCGTATGTTTTCCCTACGGACAAGCACGCCTTCCAATGGATGGCGGACATATGCAGTCGGGATCTCTCTTACCGTGGGTTCCGTGAAGATCGTGTAAAGACGTTCGTTATGTACGCGCAGGCAGAGTTCTTGCTGCATCGCCGCGTCCTCCAGTGCGCCGGCGACCACGCCGAGGTCACGAAGCTCAAAGATGAGTGGGAGAGGGTCCGTCGCCCGCCGCGCAAGGTCTGCCACTGGTCCAAGCAGCAGGCGGACGTCCTCGAGATCGTAGAGCAGAAAACGAGCATCGAGGACCAGATGGAGAAGGAGAAGGAAGGCCGTCCTGGGAGATTCCTGTATGTCGCAGGGGCCCCTGGTAGCGGTAAGTCAGCAGTCCTCCTGGAATCGGCCTTGGCAGCCGCTGGCCGCGGTCTGGGCGTGGTGATTGTGTGTCCGACTGGGCAGCTCGTGCACAGCTTCAAATCCCAGCTGCCGGAGGCGGACCACGTCGAAAACATTCGCGTGGACACTATCCACGGCGTTCTTAATTACAAACGGCCGGACAAGGATGGCAAAGTTCGGTGGTCGCCGCCTTCTGCGTTGCGGAAAATCGACCTCATACTCGTGGACGAAGGAAGCCAGTATACGGACACGGAGTTCGAGCGCTTCTTCAAGACCCTGTGCGAGCAGCCGCACTCGCCTTTCTGCGTCATCGTGGCGGATTTCCAGCAGCTCACGCCAGTCCGCATGGGGGAGAGGGTCACGGATGCCCACGAGCCAAGCTTTTGCCAGCGATTGTGCCGCTGCTGCCCCACGGTGACCTTAGACACGGTGTACAGGTCGCAGGACCCCGAGCATTTGCTTTTCTTGAACCACATCAGAGAGACTCAGCCGACAATGGACACGCTTCAGGATTATTTCCATCGCAGGCAGTTCCGGGGCACGCTGGAGCAGACCGTCGGGTACACTCTGGAGTTCGAGAAACAAGGTGGCCCCCCGATGACTTGGCTTACATGTACCAATGCTGGCGCCCAGGCAGTTGCGCAAGCGGCCTTGCGGCACAAAGGTGTCACAGACGATGATTTGCGAACAGGCTTCCGGGCGGATCCAGCAAGCAAGTGCTCCGTTCCCATCCTCGCCAAAAGAGGTCTCGTCATTCGTCTCACGCGTAATCTCGATAAAACCCGCGGCTTTGTCAACGGGGCGATCGCAGAGGTGGTGGAAAGTTTGGATGGCAATGCTGTATTTGTTGCTCGCTTACGCGGAACTGGCAACATGCTTCTCGTGCACCCATTGTACGAGAATAAGCAGTGGTTCTTGCCGTGTTGTTACGGTTATGCCACCACGATCCGCAAAGCGCAGGGCGCTAGCATCGACTCCGGGGTCATTTGGTTTGACCAGAAACGGTTCGCAGCTGTGCGCGGGTACGCATACGTCGGGGTCTCCCGCTTCCGCCACAAGGCCGGCTTATTCTTGTTTGGTAAGCTCCGGAGATCTGACTTCCTGCCTGTCGGGGGCCAGGGCAGGCAGGAGCAGGTGGCGCGCGGCGTTGCTTCCCAGGATACGGACTCTGACGACTCCAATGACGAACCCGGACATGTGGCGCATGGGGGCTACCCAGACTCCGACTCAGACCCTCCGTGTGGTTCCGACGATGCCAGTCTACCTTCTGCTGGCGAGGTCCACGAAGACTGGTCGGACACGCCCATGGCCGCTCCTTCTTCGGACCGCTCTGCGGCGAGCTCTGACCAGCATGGCAGTGAAATAGAGCACTTGTTGGGATGTTCTGCCAGCTCCTGCGACGGCTCTGAGTGCTCTGAGCAATGCGTCAGTGAAGTGGCATATTTGCTCGGTTGTTCAGACAGTTCGCCTGGCGAGTCGGAGGTTGACCAGCAGTTGAAACACGATCTGCATCCAGACGCACTGCCTGGCGGCCAGCTTCTTGGCGACTTACTTCCAGAAGAGCATCCTTCTGACGACGTTCCTTAGTTTTCTGTGGACGCGCTCGTCGCGTACTCATCGATGCAGCGCGGTCTCTTTGTCGCCGTCGTCTCCGTGGCCGTTGCCGCCGGCGGCCGTGGCACCGTCATCTTCCGCTGCCAAGCACTGCGCTTTTTATCAGCACACACAGCGCATGGAAAAAAATCTGCCCCGCTCCTCCTCCATCCACTTGTCTCCTCTCCTTGCCGCCCCCTGGCATTCCACCCCTCTCCTTCCCACTTCCCATATACCTCCCTCACCCTCACCCTCACCCCTCCCCTCCACCTCCCTTGGGAAGAGTACTTTATGCGAGTGCCCAGCAGACAAGCGTATTGTTATTCGCCGAGGCCCCCCTGCCCCCCCGGTGCCCCCCTCTGAACATTGGCCGCCACAGCACATCTCTTGAGCTTTCAGGGGGGACCCCCTGGCGAGCTTCCCTGAGGGCCCTGCCCAAACACCCTTCGCAAGATTGGCGTTGCGCGGCCCCGCAGAGGACAGCGCAGCGCAGCAGGATTGAAGAGGGGGGGGGGTGAAAGGGGTCTACGTGTCAACTTTGGAGTTCCACTTCGGGGGCGGCCTCTTAGCTCCGGGTCGATCTGTAGCGGGCCTCCCGGCTGCTGACCCCTGCAATGCTCATTCTGGCAGACACCATTACACTGCCCACTGGCCGTTTCAATATTGAAGAGGTGGGCGACAATGGCGCTCACGCTTTCAATTCCCGTCCTCTACATCCGGGCATGCTCGGAGTGGACCTTACCGCGCCAATTCCACAGAGGCCTCGCAACTCACCCCCCAGGCCGCGATTTCAGCCAACGAGGAATCTCACAAGGCAGCCAACGAGGCAGCAGACGATGTAGCCACCACGGTAGCCGACCAGGCAGCCAGCGAGGCAGGCAACCAGGGACCCAATGAGGCAGCTCACAAGGCGGCCAACCAGGCAACTGACGAGTTGGCCAACAAGGCAGCCGAGCAGGCAGCGGACGAGTCTCCCGACAGCGCAGCCAACAAGGCAGCCAACGAGGCACTTGACCAGGCAGCAAACGATGCAGCCAACCAGGCATCCAATCGGGAAGGCTGTGGAGCTGATGGGCAGGCGGCCGACGACGCAACCGCAGGGGTGGGGGGGTCCTACCATGGACTTTGCGCGCCCGAGTGCTCGCAGGCCATTCACATCGCACGCGTGGTGGCGTCGTGGATGCAAAAACATCATACCAGAAATAGCATGCCGTCTCTGGATTGCGGCATAGAGCAGCATTGGGCGGAAGAGACTCGCACGGGATATCCATTTCGGGGCTGTCCGTTGCATCCTGCTATGACAGATTGTCCCGGCTGGCGCGCCCGTGCACTTTTATCGTTTTTCAATCGTTCGATAGCCGTTTCAGGTACGCGGCTCCTTTGTGGCTTCCTGCTTGTTGTCTCCGAGAGCACGCGCCAGCTTTTGCCATGGCGGACTCCTCGGGCATGGCAGCCTTCGCCAACCTCGAGCGGCAGGCGCGGCCTGCTAATTGATGCTTGCGTCTCTATGTGATCATGCCGCTGCTGCTGCCCAGTGCGCGCACCAGATTCATTCGAGGCTGGCCCCCATGCGTTTTCCTGTCCTGCGATTTGCTGGCAAGCGTGGCCTGCGTGCGTTCTTGTGTCCGTGTATCCTTCTCTGTCTTGTGTCCTCTCTCGCTATGCTGTGCCTTGGCGCAGCAACATGCCGTGTCAACATTTGTTTGCCCGCAAGGCGAATTCTGGGGACGACGGGAAGAAGCCCCCTGTGCCGCGCACATACCTGAAGAGTTGGGAGACGATCCCGAAGTCTTTCCTGAACGCATACGGCCGTGGGAAATTCGACGTGATGCCCACCCACGAACTCTGGGGTTTGTGCAACGTGAAGCAAAAGACGGGTGCTGTCTACGCCACAGAGTTAGCCAGCGAGCATGATGAAAGGCGCGGGGTCGGCGTGAATCGCTGGCTGCAGAGCCAGGTACAGTTCCTCGAGTACCTCAAGGGCGAGCGTGTGCAGGTGGAGGCGTGCATGAAACCAGACATCGTGCGCCTGCTGTACCAGGAGATCGACAAGGTCCTTCCGGCGATGAAGAAGATCCTGGCGCCGAAAAAGGAGCACCGCAAAGACGGGATCGACCAGCTCCGGAGCGCCGTGGTGGCGGCCGCGGAGACAGTGGGTGTCGATGACCTCAACACGAATGCGAAGATCGTCTGGGAGTACATCAACCCCGCCCAGGTCAACATTGTCAGGGCTACCCAGTTTCTCTTCAGCGGAGGGGGGAGCTCCCACGTGGCGTCGTCGCACCACCGCGCCATGCTGGGCTTCGCGCTTCACGGTAATGCTCTCCACAACGACCGCTCAGGGGACGCCGTGACGCTCGAGCAGTTCCAAGCGGCTGTGCGGGCTCGCCACGCCCAGGGACCCGTCGACGAGGAGGAGCCCCCCCACAAGAAGATCAAGCCGGGCACGGCGGTTGCGGCGGGCTTTCAGTGATGGGCCTGCCGCGCTGAATCGGCGCGAGGCTGTGACTCCCGGAGTTTCGGGATTTTCAAGGCGCCCGTTGGCGCAAGCACTAGGGCGTGCACCATTGCGAGCTCGCCGATGAAGGTCGCCCCGTCCACCTTGTCCTCTCCCCCTTCACCGCGCGCCCCTCTTTTGCCTCGCCTCCTCTCCGCCGTTCCATCCCGCCGCCCTCCGCGCCGGGGCCCGGCGCAGTCCGCGGGCGTCAGGGATCCGGCGTGTCGCCCGTCTATGCCCGCCGGCCCCCGCAAAGATAAGCAATCCCCCCAAAGGGGGTGTGTTCGAAGACAAAGAGGGCGGGCATCGAGGGTGTGGGGTATACGTTTTGAAAGACTCGCGGGCAAGTAAGAGCGAACAGTCTTAAGATGGTTGTTGTTGTTGTTGTTGCTGTTTTTCTTTATTTACCTCTCTCTATATATGTATATATACATACAGATGTATATATGTGATCGACTATATCGAGAGATGCACGAGAGATGCACACATACATAAAGCGTGGCATGTGCGTTATACGTTTCCGTGCAGGCATGGGCCCCGATCAGTGATGTATGGTGCTGTGGATGTAGTGGGGGAGGAGGGTAGCGCGATGAGGAGGAGGAGGAGGAGGAAGAGGAGGAGGTGGGGAAGAGGGCGAGGCGGAGGAGGAGGAAGGACGGGGGTGGGGAGGAGGAGGACCCGGAGAAGGAGGAGGAGGAGGAGGAAGAGGAGGAGGAGGGAGAGGAGGAGGAGGAGGAAGAGAAGGAAAAAGGAGGAGGAGGAGAAGGAGGAGGAGGAGGAGGAAGAGGATGGAACAAGGACGAGAAGGAGGAGGACGATTGTCCTCCTCCTCCTCCTCCTCCTCCTCCTCTCCTTTGCTTCCTCCCGACCTAGGGTGTAGGCCGAGTGGCGACGGGCGGCCAGTCTGCGCACACGGCGGGGCGGCCAGCGGAAAGGTGGGCCTTCGCGCTCCTCGGCAGTGGGAGGCGACGTCGGCGGCGAGGTGCTCCTCCTCCTCCTCCTCCTCCCTCTTTCGTCCCCCCTCGTCTCCGTCCTCCTAGTCCCCTCTCCCCCTCTTCGTCTCCATTCCTCCTCCTCCTCCTCCTCCTTCTCCTCCTCCTTCTCCTCCTCCTCCTCCTCCTCTCTCCTCCTCCTCCTCCTCCTCCTCCTCCTCCTCCCCCTCTTCCTCCTCCTCCTCCTCCTCCTCCCCTCTTCCCTCCTCCTCCTCCCCTTTTCGTCCTCCTCCTCCTGCTCCTCCTCCTCCTCCTCCGCCTCCTCCTCCTCCTCCGCCTCGTCGTTATCGTCCTCCTCTTCCTCCTCCACATCCTCCTCCTCCTCTTCCTTGTCCGCCTCTCCTCCTTTTCCTTTCCCTCCTCTCCTCCTCGTCGTCGTCCTCCTCCCCCTCCTACACTCCTCCTCTTTCCCCAACCATCCTGTGGTGTTGGCGCCCCGCGTTCCTCCTCCTCCTCCTCCTCCTCCTCCTCCTCTTCCTCCTTCTCCCGCTGCCCCCTCCTCCTCTCTCCTCCCGTCACCATTTCGGCATACCCCTCACACGTTTCGTGGCCCCATAGGGAGCCGCACCGAAGGCCCCAGTGGCAGGGTCCGCATGCGGTTCCGCGCCCATTTGGGCAAACCTCTCACACGTTTCGTAGCCCCATCGGGAGCTCCACCGAAGGCCCCAGTGGCAAGGTCCGCATGCGGTTCCCCGCCCATTTCGGCACACCACTCACACGTTTCGTGGCCCCATAGGGAGCTCCACCGAAGGCCCCAGTGGCAGGGTCCGCATGCGGTTCCCCACCCATTTCGGCACACCCCTCACACGCTTCGTGGCCCCATTGGGAGGCCCGTCGAACGATGGACGCAGAACGCGGTATCCACACCTGCTTATGGTTGGGTCCTTCGCCAGGCGAATTTGACGTTGAACGGCTGTCAAGCGGCTCGGATCCCCGCGTCTGTCCCGCTCTTCCCCCTCCTCCTCGTCCTCCGCCTCCATCTTCTTGCGCAAGCTGCAATGCACACGTTTTTCCCTCAACCGGCGCAGTAGGTTACGAGCGCGTGGTACACTGTTCTTTTCTAATGATTCGAAAGTTCTTTGATTTTTTGGGGGCCAAGATCCTTTCATTTCTAATTGTTCTATCCTGGGCCTCTTCCTGGCCACTAGGGGGCCAGGAACAATTAGAAACGAGCACAATTAGAAATGAGCACGATTAGAAATGAACGACGTGTACGCAAGCTGCAGGGCACACGCTTTTCCCTCAACCGGCGCAGTAGGTTACGAGCGCGTGGCACGTTGACGGGGTCGAAGGGTACACACTGAGCATCAGCGCGTGCAAGACGGAAGCCCATCAGAGGCGCGGCTGGTAATCTTTCGCTTGCCGCTCGTGTATCGTCTTGAGGCGTGCCAGCGTGCGCACTAGCCTGCATAACCGCGACAATACAGAGATCAGACGGTCCTGCGACGAGGTGCCATACACACTGCAGCTCACCTTTGCAAGGCACACGGCCCCTTTCGTCGAGTGAGACATCCTCCGCATCGTCCTCCAGCGATCGGCCATTGATCGTGCTCCGCCTCCGCCGCCTCGAACCTCGAGGTTCAAGCATCGAGGTTGTGTTGACGCGTGTGGCCGAGGAGAAGGAGGAGGAGAAGGAGGAGGAGGAGGAGGAGAGAGGGAGAGGAGGGGGAGGAGGAGGCGGGGAGGAGGAGGAGGAGCAGGAGGAGGAGGAGGAGGAGGAGGTCGAGGAGGATGAGGAGGACGACGTGGGGAGAAGGCTTCCTAGAGGCACCCCTGCTTACAAGGAGCCTTCCCCCTTCCCCCCTTCGCCCCCTCTGCTCGCCGCCAGAGTGAGGCGTCAGCAGCCTCTTTTCCAGGGTCTCGGAGCCGGCCACGTCGTCATGGCAGGAGCTCGCCGTGCTCTTGGGCTGCAGGGGCCACCGGCGGGCTCGCGCCGTCTGTCCAGAAGCAGAGCAGTTGGACGCCCGCCGCGGGAGCTCGCGCATGTTTGGGTCGCCGCTCGCGCTGGGCAGTTTTCCGAATCAGTATGCGGGGCAGACGCCACGTCCACCTCATACCCGCCCACCTTCACCTCAGCCACCACCGTTTTCACCTGCACCTCGTCCTTGCCGTTGTCCTCTCCTCCTCCTCCACGTCCCGCTCCCGCTCTGTTCCCCCCCTCTCTTGCCCTCCCTCCCTCAGTCTACCCCTGTTCCCCATTCTCCTCAACCTCCACTACTTATTCTTCTTCCTCCTCCTCTTCCGTCCATCATCATGCGCTCCACCTTGTCCCCCTTCTTCTCTCCTCCTTCCTCCTTCCTCCTTCCTCCTCCTCCTCCTCCGCCTCCTCCAATCCTTTCCCCCCCTACCCCCTCACCTCCCTCCCCCACTCCTCCTATCATCACTCCTCTCCTCCGCCCCTCCGCTCCCCCTCCTCCTCCTCCTCCTCCTCTCCTCCTCTCCTCCTCCTCCTCCTCCTCCTCCTCCTCCTCCTCCTCCTCCTCCTCCTCCTCCTCCTCCCTCCCCCCTACTTCCTCATCCTCAGTCTCCTCCTTTCCTTCCCCCCCCGTCCCGCCACCGCGCATCCCCCCCCCGCGTTGGCCTCGTCGCCCCCGTCTGCAGCCAACTTGGCCCAGGCCACCTTGTCCAAGGGAGCAGGGCCGCGCGCGGGCTCCCAGGTGAGCGGAGGAGGAGGAGGAGGAGGAGGAGGAGGAGGAGGAGGAACGGGAGGAGAAATCGGGAGAGTAACGGGAGGAGGAGGAGGAAGAGGGGAAGAGGAGGAAGGAGCGGGAAGAGGAGGAGGAAGGGAAGAGGACGAGGCGGAAGGGAGGAGGAGACGACGAAGAGGATGGACAGGGGCGGAGGAGGAGTGGAGACGGGAGCTGTAAGGAGGAGGCAGCGAAGAGGAGCGAGGGAGGAGGAGAGGCGAGGAGGAGGAGGAGGAGGAGGAGGAGGAGGAGGAGGCGGAGGAGGAGGAGAGGTAGCAGGAGCAGGACAGGATAGCTCGCATTGGAGGAGGCAGGTGGAGGAGGAGGAGAGGAGGAGGTGCAGGAACGAGAAGGCCGGAGGAGAGGCTGAGTTGGAAGAGGAAGGTGAGGAAGTTGGGAGGAGGGGGTAGGAGGAGGAGGAGGAGCAGCAGCAGCAAGCAGATCTCGGAAGGAGGAGGGCCGGCACGAATATGGACGTGAGGAGGAGGAGGAGGAAGAGGGTGGAGGTGGAGAAGGTCGAGGAGGTGGGGGAGGAGGAGGGGGAGAGAGGATGAGGGAGGAGGAGGAGGAGGAGGAGGAGGAGGGAAAACAGGCCGAGGAGGAGGGGGAGAGAGGCAGCCCTAGCGCGAAGAAGAGGAGTAGGAAGAGGATCAGGCGGAGGAGGAGGAGGAGGAGGAAGAGGAGGAGGAGCAGGAGGAGGAGGAGGACGAGGACCAGGACGAGGACCAGGAGGAGGAGGAGGAGGAGGAGGAGGAGAAGGATGAGGATGGAACTGGAAGGAGGAGGAAACTTACGCTTCTGGCGGATCGCCTTTGAGCCTGCGCAAGAGAAAAGGAAGAGGAAGGATGATGGGGGGGAAGGTGATGAGAGGGATACGTACTGTCCGCAGGAGGGGGAATCGGAGGAGGGAGGACGAGGGAGGAGGACGATGACGAGATACTACAAGATAAGACCTGTCGCGAAGCGAGTTCAAGCTAGATGTCCGCCCTGAACGTGTCGAGGTAGGCAACGGACTGGACGATGACGCGCAGCACCCCGTACACGGCGGACAGGAACAAGGAGGCCCGAGGAACACCGAACCGACACCACGACCTAGGCATGTGCAGTTGAGAATGTGCTGTTACATCCACATCGCAGCCAGCCACCGCCAACATGTTCACTCCTTCCGTTCCGATTCACCCAAGACGAGACAGTATACGCCAGAGACTCCCGCACAGCTGTGCCATGGATGAGGGAGCCCGGGCCGCGGACTGACGCACAAGTTACACAACATCCGCCGCCGGATATGGCCCAGTCT